CCCCCCCCCCCCCCCGCCCCACCCAAACCCAAACAACATATCGTGGAGATAGGGCAGGTCTAGCCCAAATCAGCCTGCGCGTGTTTACACATGCGGCACCTATCAACTGCTGCGGGTGTTGCTGCTGTTGGGTGCATTGGAACTTATTATTGCCCGTTCGACGGACTCGGCTGCATCACTCTCAGAGGACTCCACCACCACCAGCACCACCCTGCATCCACCACGAGCCCATAACAATTGCTCGCCGAAGCAATGCAAGGCGGCCTTCCTCACCAGGGCAGGCAAACGAACAAGACACGACCGACGAAACAGCGTGCCGCAGTACCAATGTACAGCCTTCACGAGAGCAACCAAACCTCTTGCCGCGCTCACTTGCGGTCCAGCCAGACTCACCAGTGTACCAGGTTCAGAGCGAGTGTAGCCTAAGCAGTGGGTAGTTGTACGAGTAAATACTAGCAAAGGGCTTCAAGCGCCCACGGTCCCGCGGTCTCTCTCGTTCCCTCACCCAAAGGACGCCGTCCACCGGCTAAGCACCGCCACGTCCCCGGCCACGTCAAGCAACAGCACCAGCAGCACCACCCGCCTGGACAGCTTCATGCCGTACGCCTGCTTCATCGAGCTCTGAACGTCGTCGTCGTGATGATCCATCGCGGTGGGCGTCGTCGTCGTCGTGATGGTGCCGCGGAGAGATCGATCAACACAGGCGTGCCAAAAGGGTGGGGTTGGTCGAGCGAATACGGACGACTTCCCATCATCAGCGGTGAGATACTACTACAGACACAAGGCAGGAGCATTGTCGTCGGAAACCCACCCACGTGCCCTCTCTACGGCTACATAAACAACAAAGGATGATCAATTTTTAGCTATTTCGATTCACCCCCGACGCCTCCGTTTCCCTGAAAATAACCACCAAGCGAGAGTGACCAAAAACGACCCCCCCCCCCGGTGTTTGCCATCGGAATTGGGTTTTCGTCGCTTGGCAACGACGTTGTAAAACAAGCCAATTCACTTCGTGAACTCGGCAACCAGGGTACCGTTTGTTTTTTTTACCTCTGTTTTTTTTGGGCGCTAACCATGAACGGTGGTCGAGTAGATCATGTTGTGCGGGGTCGATAACCCTCACTCCGCGCAACGGGGGATGATCGCACCACGTTGTGTTAAAATGGTCAAGCATCCTCGAGGCAGTTACGCAGTGCTTATAACTGTCTCTGGAAGTGAAACCACCAGAAAATAAATCAAGTCATACGCAGCTGTCATCCGTACGCAAGGAAGTAAGCACAAGATGCCGAACACCCTTAGCAGGATGCAGCGCACCCTTCATGCGACTCGCCGAATACCTCGCGGCGCTTCGCGCTTGGTGATGTGAGAGCCTGGTCCGGTGAGAACCCGACGTGCTCCGTCCCGGTTTTGTAGGGATGCGAGGTCAATGGTCTAATGACTACGGCATGCACGACTATGAGTACCCCCCCCCCCCCCCCCCCC